CACACAGAAACAACCAAACAAACACACAGACATCTCTTTCTCTCTCTCTCTCTGCAGTTATGATGGAACGTCTGACTTGGCTACCGTTGAGTCCTACGACCCTGTCACCAACTCGTGGCAGACGGAGGTCTCCATGGGCACCAGGCGGAGCTGCCTTGGGGTGGCAGCCTTGCACGGCCTTCTCTATGCTGCTGGGGGCTACGATGGAGCTTCGTGTCTGAACAGGTAAAGGGGTCCTTCAAAGTTCAAAAGGTCTACCTGGTCTCCCCATCCATCCCTCCGAAGGAAGCTCTTTAGGTCCTCCTCCTTCGAAACTACCACCCTCGTCAAAACACCGCCAAGGTAAATTTCTCCTTTTTTCATGAAAGCAGGACGGGTGGAAGTCACCTTCCCATGTCGTTTTGATTTTTGATTCAGCAAGTCGGGCGTTGTTGTTTTTTTCTTCTTCTTCTTCTTTTCCTTCTTGCTTTCCTTTTTTTTTCTTCTTTTTTTAAACGTATAAAAGAAAGTTTTGGAAAGTTGTTTTTAAAGCAACTTGAGTTCTCTTTTTTCCTCCCCTTGTAAAGTTTTTTACTTTTTATTTTATTTTCATAGCATATGATCACATGTATACTATTACATAACCAACATCATATTGTATTATTAAATGTTTACATCAATTCATCTTGCCATCAACTCCCCATAAGAAGAAGGGGAAAAAAACACCATTTATTGGCTCTTCTGCTCTCCATACATTATATTTGTGTGTTCACTTTCTTCTCCCTCTTTCGTCCTCCTCCCTATCTCCTTTCTTCTCTCTGTCCTCCTTCCCTTCTCTACTTCCCCTTCCTCTCTCCTTCTCCTCTCTCCCCTTTCCTCTCCTCCTCTTCCCCCTTCCTTGCCCTCTCTCCTATCCCCCTCTCCTTCCCTTACCTCTCTCCTCTACTTCACACTCTTCATCTCATTTCCTTGTCCCTGAGTTCTTAAGCAAACATAACCCATTGGTTAAGAGAAAGCGGGGGGAAAATAAACAAACAAAATTGTGGTTTAAAAAAATTGTGCATCTTGGAGCCTATCGTGAATTGGATACAACAGCCTCACCCACCCACCCCAAACCTATGATGGCGAACCTATGGCACGCATGCCACAGGTGGCACGTGGAGCCATATTTGCTGGCACGCAAGCCGTCAGTGCCAGTGCCCATGCGCGCGCCAACCAGCTCATTTTCGGCCTTCCAGAGGGCTGGCGAAGGCTGTTTTCGCCCTCTCCAGGCTCCAGAGGCTTTCCTGAAGCCTGGGGAGAGCAAAAACAGCCTCTCCTGGCCCCCCAGAAGCTGGAAACAGATCGTTTCCAAACTTCCTGTTGGCCCGTTGAGGCCTCCTAACACGGCGTCCTTTTTCCTCTGCTGACCGGAAGACTGGTTCCCCACCACCATGATAGAGTCTCCTCCTAGTGCAGCATCCTTTTTTCCTCTGCTGACCGGAAGTCTGGTTCCCCCACCATAGAGTCTCCTCCTAGTGCAGCATCCTTTTTTCCTCT